GTGAACTTCCCCCGTGCTTGGTGGATATCCATGTTCACCCATTGTTTGGTATTTGGGCTGGCATGCCAGTCGACCAGTCGGTGCAAGTGTGACGCCTGGTAGTACATGAGTACGTTAGCTGAGCTGGGGTAAAACCCATTGTGGCTGCCACAGTGTGGGGGGGGGGGAAAGCTTCAGGGCTAGCTGGGGGAAAGGAATGGAGGGGGGAAGGGAAGAAGGAAGTAGGGAGGAAGTTGGGTGAGGAAAGGGGCAGGTAAGGGGTTAAAGTGTCTGTCGGGTGTATGGAGGGATGTCGATGTAACGTCGACCCAGTACTGGGGGTAGTCGTTCAGAGTGTGTGCCCGTCCCGGTGAACCCCGGTACTATGTACAGTTAGGGTCAGTCACAGTGAAGGTCGGTTGAGCCACCTATGGAGATGTGTCTATATCTCATTCTCCCTTTTGGCTCCCAACCTGCGGGAGGTGTCAATGGATGCGGTATGTAGATGGTCAAGCCTCAAGGTGCATGCCGTGCGTGTGCCAGCCCGGCCACGGCTGTGGGCCTTGTGGTCCTTTTCCCATGTTAGATTATGTAAAGGCTATGGGCCATTCCCTCTTAGTCTTTCACTAATTCCCTCTGGCTATGTCTGGATCCCCTGACTCCACCGAAGGTAGTGTATAAACGTGGGGCGCAGCACTTTCCGGAGAGCCCCTGGGTTGCATTGTCAGCTATGGGGGTGGTCAGCCAGTGTGGATATCCTAAGAACAGTGCAATGAACTATGTACAATACAAAGACCCATGCCCTCTCAGCCACCCCGCCACGCAGGCAGGCACTTAGTGTGCTCCCACTGCCAGCATGCCGGCTCAGGACACCGCCCCATACCCCCCGCATCCTATAGCACACTCATATCCTACAAGCATTGCGGGCTGAAGTCCGGGAACCAGACCAGCGTGAGTTCCATATGGCATTGTTCAGTAGGCAACCTCAGCCAGGTGAAAATCTCAGGGCCCCTGGCCACATACTGTGAGGACTCCTTGCTGTGTACCCTGGCGCCCCTTGCCCCCCACCCCACCTCAGGGATCCCAGGGCCCACCCCTCCCGGGTGAGTTGCGCCATCAAGCAAGACCCACTCACATAACTGGACCCCCACCAGCCCACTCGAACCCTGCCAACCTACTGAACCCCCTCAAGAACGTTCCCGCCAAGGCCCATCAGGTGGCGGGCCAGGAAGAGGTGGGCAGCTGGAACAGTGCATACCCTATCCGAGGACATCAAGCTGCCCGGTTCAGGTTGCAGGAACTGGGTCTCAAGGGGTGCCGGTGTCCAAGTGTGAGCAGTCCATAACCATGCAGGGGGCAGCCTCACAGAGTGTGGGTGCCACGTGGCAGGGTGCTATTCTTTGGGGCCTTCAGGGCCACTCTACTTAGTTTATCAATATTGTGTGGTGGGGTAGGGTAGTATGCAATCCCTGTAAGTGGATGTTATGCAAATGAAAAGCCCAATGAAGGGCTGAAATAGGAACAACGTATGTTGCCCACTGAGGGTCACGTGAAACTGAGGGCTTTTTGGAAGGACTATGTATATGAGGCAGATAAGGGGCCCAATGTAAGTCCTGAGGCACAGGGTAGCTATGTGAGGCTTTGATAAAAGTAATGGGGTGATTGATAGATCAGATATAGATTGCAGAGAAAATATATGTTCATAGTTATACAATACATAGGGTATGAAACAGAATTTACAACAGGAATGAATTGTAGACCACTAAAATGCAATAGTACTGAATTGGTTTGGTGAAAGTAATATATTTTTTATTTTTTATATATAATACATACATTTATAACACATACTTGTGGAATGCCTAGGAGGATGATTTAGACTTATGCATACATAATTGGTATGGAAGAATAGGGTTGAAAGCAACAGCACAGGCTAGAATAACAGAGTAGAATGCATTAACGTGAGGCTAGTGACAGTCAAATCGAATGCCAGTACCATGTGTTAGCGGTTCTGAAGGCCTCGATAAGACACACTTGGAAATATAATCCCAATAAAAATAAAAAAAAAATACATATTTTCAGTTTTTTTTATTTTTTTTTATTTTGGGGCATTTGAGTGTCCCTTTTTAGTATGTTTACTGATCACACCCGAGTGGCAGACCTGGTTCATGGCATGTTTTGATTGAAGTGCAACTATAACATTTAGATAAGGGCCACGTATGTGGCCGTATAAACCATAGAATAGACATAATTATGACCGACATAATTTTAAAGTGCGATTAACAAAGCTCGTGCTGAGCCCAGAAAGGACTAAAACAATGTAAGTATTGATAGACAGTGAAATAAGACAGATTAACAGGCTGTACCATAAATGCTGATCAAATGTTTGGGCCTGACATAAATTTAGACAGTCAGTAGCAACACTTTGCCACATAATTACTAAACAGTGTAGGCCTCATGTGTGCCTGAATACCAAGAGGGCAACTATGAAAAATACATATAGGTACTGGGGCTTGGTGAACATAAGTAAAAAATGCTGACAAGTATAACCAAGGCCATGTGGGCTGACAATAATAAGCTACAAATATGAAAACAGAATATGGGATAGCATTTATTATACAAAAGAACGTAAGGTGACTAACTAAATTACATATTATAAAATTCAATATATTCAAATACAGTAAGCATAATGCATGAACCGATTTGAGGTATCACTGTGATGCTGTGATTGAAATAAGCCGTATTTGTATTAGTAGTGAAATTCGCCATATGCGAGTGAGAAAGGAATACGTGAGTGAAATGCTAATGCCACCCTAGTTAGTGAAAGGCCAAATGTGGGCTAAATACATGAGAAATGTCAATGATAGGGTGCTGCTGAAGCCATATACATATGTGTGACGGACCTTGTAATATTCCATTTGGTTACCCGTACCTAGTTTCGTATCCCCCTATTTGTGGGCCGAAAGGAACATGTGTGGTCCCCCTTTTATTAGCTCTCAGAAAACCGACCACCCCTGGCTGTTAAGTGCAATTAAGTAATTAACTGAACTGTTTACTACCATTTTTATCTCCCAAACACAGGTAGCAGTACTTGGTCGTCGAGTGCATGGAACTCATTTCGGCTATGCAATCTAATGAACTCCAGCAAAGATTGTGCCTCTGTCCGTCCAACTTCCCGACCACCTAGACGAACAACGTTCGGGAGATAGGAACTACTGACTGGGGGGAGTATTCGCTCCCTAAGAGCCAGGGCGAGTGTTTGTTGGTGTTCACACAGGAAACCCCGAAAGCAGACCGGAATTTGTCCTTGTTTCTCTGGAACAATTTTAGGTCATCACCTTGTGGTCAGCCGGTCAGAACATTACCTGAATGGCAATTCCGTTCTACCAAATGGATCTGAGCGTTATTTGGACAACTTGGGTGCTCAGGTGAAAATTCATGGCAAGATGAATGCAGCATATTGTCAGAAAATACTGGCAGTCAATATGCATTCTTCTGCACAAAGGCTGCGCATGGGACGCTCTTTGACTTTCCAGCATGACAATGACAATAAGCAGAAGGCCAAGTTGAAGTTTGCAAGGGCTTGGAGTATTTGCACTGGTTTATAAAATCACAAAATGTAATTGTCTGCCAAGACTACTTGAGCCTTTAATATATCTAAGAGTATATGGTGGCTGTCCAAAAGTTATGAGATACCTTGGAGGTCTACTAACTATGAAGAATTGAAGTGAGAAACCAATTTAAAATTCAGGCCACAGTAGGTAAATTCTCAAATTTAGTGACAGTAAATAGGTGATTTTTGGTTGCATTTTGCAGATTCAGTGAACAAATCATGTTTCTACAATTCTATTGTAGTGCTAGTCTTAAACCAGGTGTGCCTAACCCATGACTCGCCTGCTCAGATCTGGGATATTCTGGGATATAAGAATTGTGGGATTCCTGTATATTTTTGGTATGTTTTGGGGGTATTTTGTGTAAAATTGTATGGATTCCTGTAACTGGAAGATAATAGAGTTATCCTTCTATTGACTTTTTCTTATGGAGACCCAATGATCGGGGTCTGTGCATAAAAGGCTGAGTGTGGCATAATAAACCTCAGTTGACTCCCAGAACTGTGTCATCAAGTTACTGGGGGAATGGGCTATAATCTCTGAACAGCGCTTTTCTTCCAGCTCCAGAGGACTTCAGCTAAGATTTTCAGTCTCAGGATTGCAGCTCTGCTACAATATATATATGCTCAAAAGTTTGCATACCCTGGCAGAAATTGTGAAACTTTGTCCTTGATTTTGAAAATATGACTAATCATGCAAAAAAAAGTATTTTATTAAAGGATAGTGATCATATGAAGCCATTTTCATATCAAAGTTGTGACTCATTTTTAAATCATAATGAAAACAGAAATCACCCAAATGGTCCTAATTATAAGTTTACATACCCTTGAATGTTTGGCCTTGTTACAGACACAGGTTAAAATGGCAATAAAAGTTTATTTTCTCGCACCTGTGGCTTTTTAAATTGCAATTAGTGTCTGTGTATAAATAGTCAATGAGTTTGTTAGCTCTCACGTGGATGCACTGAGCAAGCTATATAGTGAGCCATGGGGAGCAGAAAATACCTGTCAAAAGACCTGCGTAACAAGGTAATGAAAGTTTATAAAGATGGAAAAGGACATAAAAAAGATCCAGAGACTTTAAAATGTCAGTCAGTTCTGTTCAATCACTTATTAAGAAGTGGAAAATTTGGGGATCTCTTGATACCAAGCCAAGGTAAGGTAGACCAAGAAAGATTTCAGCCACAACTGCCAGAATAATTGTTTGGGATACAAAAAGAAAAACCCACAGGTAACCTCAGGAGAAATACAGGCTGCTCTGGAAAAAGACTGTGTGGTTGTTTCAAGGAGCACAATAAGACAATACTTGAACAAAAATTAGTTGCATGGTCGAGTTTCCAGAAAGAAGCCTTTACTGCACTAATGCCACAAAAAAGCCCGGTTACGATATGCCTGACAACACCTTGACATGCCTCACAGCTTCTGGCAAACTGTAATTTGGAGTGACGAGACCAAAATAGAGTTTTATGGTCACAACCATAAGTGCTATGTTTGGAGAGGGGTCAACAAGGCCTATAGTGAAAAGAATACCATCCCCCCTGTGAAGTATGGTGGTGACTCACTGATGTTTTGTGGGGGTGTGCGTTTGAAAGGCACAGGGAATCTTGTGAAAATTCATGGCAAGATGAATGCAGCATATTATCAGAAAATACTGGCAGTCAATATGCATTCTTCTGCACAAAGGCTGCGCATGGGACGCTCTTTGACTTTCCAGCATGACAATGACAATGACAATAAGCAGAAGGCCAAGTTGACCGTCCAATGGTTACAGCAGAAAAAGGTGAAGGTTCTGAAGTGGCACAGTCTCCTGACCTTATTATCATCGACATATATAAATACACACAGATACGGGATACAGCTAGGCACTAAGAAAGGAAAATTATTTGTAAATATGTCAGGGCTTACCTGAATGGGAGTCTTAAATTAAATGTAATATTCAGTGGGTTTAATACACTAAGTTTGCAAGGGCTTGGAGTATTTGCACTGGTTTATAAAATAACAAAATTTAATTGTCTGCCAAGACTACTTGAGCCTTTAATATATCTAAGAGTATATGGTGGCTGTCCAAAAGTTATGAGATACCTTGGAGGTCTACTAACTATGAAGAATTGAAGTGAGAAACAAACTTTAAATTCAGGCCACAGTAGGTAAATTCTCAAATTTAGTGACAGTAAATAGGTGATTTTTGGTTGCATTTTGCAGATTCAGTGAACAAATCATGTTTCTACAATTCTATTGTAGTGCTAGTCTTAAACCAGGTGTACCCAACCCATGACTCGCCTGCAACCCTAAACCGCTTGTAATGCGGCCGAGTTGCCTGGAAGCGAGGGAGGCAGAGATCCCATTACTTACTGTGATCTTGCACAGCTCCCTTGCGCTCCCTTGAGCCCCGACAGCTGGGATATGATGTCATCTTGACATGGGCATCAATTATGTGCAGGAAGAGCACAATGATACCACCACAGCAGCAACCACTGGCCACCAGGGAGAGGATCCACTCCAGCCCTCCCAGAGCAAGGTAGGGAGGATGGATGGACCTTGTATGTCTGTTATTGTATGTGTACTTATTGGGGCCTGTGATTGTGTATACATCTGTGTGTGTATATCTGTGATTGTATGTATGTCATAAGTATGAAATATCAAAATTATAAAAAGGGCTTTTAAAGTTTTATTATGTACCATAAATTAAATTTATTATATATTTTATGTGTGGCCCAATAAAATTTCTCTTCATTCAATGTGGCGTGGGGAAGCCAACTGTTTGGATAACCATGTCTTAAAGACTAAAACTGTAATTTCTACCCTCCAAGTCTACAATAAAAACATTTTGTTCCTGAAAAGCCATAATTTCTCTACCTCAGTCTTTATAATGATCTTTATCATTCTCGATACCTTTATTCTGCTAATCTTATATTTTACATCAGGATTATCTATCAAAAATGTCATGCCTCATTTACCTAATATGTCCTACACAAGGTTTATTAGGCAAATGCCATTTCCTACTCTGTCTTTGCCCCTTCCTATCGATGTTGCCAAACTAACCTCCATCAAATTATGATGCAATTTCAAACCATAACCCTAATCCTTGTTAACTCCTATCCTTCCCGTACATTGTTTAGAATAGAGGCTTCAAGGATGAGTAATTTATAAGCTAACCACAGGTCAGGTAATCACAGTGATTGACTCCCAAAGAGATCAGACAATCTAGAGGCTAATCAATCACTACTGATATACTTCCTAACTTCTGAGGCAGCCTAAATAGCCCACTGATGCTGACTGTGGCATGGGCTGCTGCAGATGGGCATGAGGAACTCAATCATGGAATAGGACTGGCTGCCACAGCAACCCTATGCCAGTAACAGCTATCATTACATATTACTCATTGCTGAAGCTTCTAGCAATAGAACATAGCATGCTGTCAGGATTACAGAATGTTCCAGCACGTAGAACTGTGTAACACAGAGGACTGATAGGTAACATATACTGGACCTTAGAATGGCCGGACTGACGTACCAAAGAATAGTCAGGAATAGCCGAGGTCAAGGGAAACAGAAAGAGACACAACGATAAGGAAAAGCCAGGAGTCAGGGATGCCAGAAAACAGGGAAGTCAAAAACAATGCCAAAGTCAAATAACCAGAATAACCAGAATCAATAACACGCTCTCGGACAACCACAAGGGAAACCACGACAGGGCACTGAGCAGGATGAGAACTGGGCCTAAATACCCCTCCTCTAGGTCTGATAGGCTGTAACCGGCCTTTGACCCCCAAAGGCAGTTACCAGATCTCATTTGCATAATTGCTGCTCAGCATTAACCCTTCTGTGGATTAGGTTGTTGCTCGGCACAACTTTTCCTGTGTGGACAGTAAATGTCATTAACCACATTTTTGAAAGCGGATGATTACGTGACACATGCACAGCAACTGTGGCAGGCACCAACTTAAATGAGGAAACTATACTGGCAGCCAGGTATACAATCACGGGGGCAGTCTGTTGATGCAATTGCTTGCCGAAGAGACACAAAGACAGCTATCTTCTGTGATGGCTCATTAGTAGGACATCCAGAAACGGCTCAATGCTCGTGATCCTGGCAAGACTAGCTTTCTAAAATAAATCTGACTGCTGGCATATTATGTATAACGTTTGTCACTATGTGTGAAACCTACCACAGTGTATACTGAAAGTTGTTAGTCATGTTAAAGGAACACTATAGTCATCTAAATTACTTTAGCTAAATAAGGCAGTTTTAGTGTATAGATCATTCCCCTGCAATTTCACTGCTCAATTCACTGTCATTTAGGAGTTAAATCCCATTGTTTCTGTTTATGCAGCCCTAGCCACACCTCCCCTGGCTATGAACTGGTTTCACACAGATGTAATTTACCTTAAATAATTGTATCTCAATCTCTAAATTGAACTTTAATCACATACAGGAGGCTCTTGCATGGTCTAGCAAGCTATTAACATAGCAGGGGATAAGAAAATCTTAATTAAGCAGAACTTGCAATAAAGAAAGCCTAAATAGGGCTCTCTTTACAGGAAGTGTTTTTAAAATTTAATTAGAATAATGTCCTATTAGCAGTATTCTCTAGGTCCCCATGAAACCCTCAAAGAGCGTTGCATAGCTGAAAAGAGTCCATCAAGTTCAGCCTTCCTCACATTTGTTTTTTGCTGTTGATCCAGTTTAAACCCAGTTTAAATCACTTCCAATTTTGCAACAAACTAGGAAAAAAAAATCTTTCTTGACACCAGAATGGCAGTCAGATTTATCCTTGGATCAAGCAGCTATTACCCTACGTTGAAAGATTATATAATTGAATATTCTGTTTTTTCAAGTATGCATCTAGTTGCTGTTTGAATATATGTATGGACTCTGATAAAACCACTTCTTCTGGCAGAGAATTCCACGTCCTTATTGTTCTCACAGTAAAAAAAACATTTCCTTTTCCTTAGACGAAATCGTCTTTCTTCCAGTCTAAATGCATGCCCTCGTGTCCTATGTAAAGTCCGGTTTGTGAATAGATTTCCACACAATGGTTTGTATTGGCCTCGAATATTTGTATAATGGTATCATATCCCCTCTCAGGCGACGTTTTTCTAAACTAAAGAGGTTTAAATTTGTTAACCTTTCTTCATAGCTGATATGTTCCATTCCTTGTATTAATTTTGTAGCCCACCTCTGTACTTTTTCTAGTGCCATAATATCCTTCTTTAGAACAGGTGCCCAAAATTGCACAGTATATTCAATATGTGGTCTTATCAGTGATTTATAAAGAGGCAAAATGATATTCTCGTCCCAAGAATGAATGCCCTTTTTCATGCATGACGATACCTTGCTGGCCTTAGCCACTGCTGATTGACATTACACATTGTTGTATAGTTTGTTGTCTACAACAATTCCCAAGTCCTTTTCGTGTGTTGTTATCACTAATTCACTTCCATTAGGGTATACGTTGCTTGTGCATTCTTTACGCCGAAGTGCATAACTTTGCATTTTTCAATATTAAATTTCATCTGCCATTTGAGTGCCCAGTCCCCCAGTCTATCTAAATCCCTCTGCAGCAAAGTAATATCTTGCTAAGATTGTATTACTTTACAGAGTTTTGTGTCATCTGCAAACACTGAAACATGACTTTCAATTTTTTTTCAAGATCATTTATAAACATGTTAAATAGAAGGGGTCCCAGAACAGAACCCTGAGGGAAACCACTTGCCACCTCTGTCCAGCTTGAAAATTTACCATTAATGACAACTCTTTGTACTCTATTTTTAAGCCAATGTTCTACCCAAGAACAAGCATTTTCATCTAGACCGATTTCCTTGAGTTTGAACCCCAATCTATTGTGTGGAACTGTATCAAATGCCTTGGAAAAATCTAAATAGATCACATCCACTGCAACACCCTGATCTATACTTCTACTTACTTCTTCGTAGAACGCAATCAAGTTAGTTTGACATGACCTGTGCTTCATAAAACCATGCTGATTTTTGCTGATAACCATGTTCTTCTCAAGGAATTCTTGAATATTATCCCTTAATAACCTTTCAAATATTTTCCCAGCCACAGAAGTTAAGCTCACAGGTCTATAATTTTCAGGCAAGGATTTTGAACCCTTTTTGAATATAGGAACCACATCCGCCTTCCTCCAATCCTCTGGAACACTTCCTGAAAGAAAAGAATCTTGAAAGATTAAAAACAGAGGTTCACTTATTTCTACACTTAGTTCCATAAGTACTCATGGATGAATACCATCAGGCTCTGGAGCTTTGTTTATATTAACTTTCTTTAATTGCTGCAGCACCTTGTCTTGAGTTAACCAATCACAATTATTCTGCCAATTTTTAGCAACAATCATTTGTACATCTATTGCCATGGGTTCTTTCTTAATATATAAGGAGGAGAAATAGTTGTTTAAAATTCCTGCCTTTACCTGATCTTCATTAACTAACACAGTCATTCCAGTTTTTAGTGTACCTACACTTTCATTTTTAGTTTTTTTTTTAGAATTTACGTACTTAAAGAATGCTTTTGGGTTGGTTTTGCTCTCTTTGGCTATCATTTTTTCATTTTGAAGTTTAGCGAATCTAATCACCTTTTTGCATGCATTATTGGCTTCCTTATATCTTTTATAGGATGCATCTGATTTGTCCAATTTAAATGCTTTAAATGCCCTTTTCTTATTTTTAATCTCGTTTTACTTCTCTACTAAGGTCCAGACAAGCGTCCTTTCTAGTTCAGGTTCAAAAACCTAATTCCC